CTCCCGATGGGCCACCCCATTCACAAGATTCATCAACATCAAGCACGGGAACGTTAAAGATTTCAACTTTTGATGAACGACACGAGTTCCACAAGATCGCGCGAGCATGTGAACGACATCCTCCTCGGAGAGCAGGAACGCGCGGCCGAACCTGCTGCGCGTGAGGACTCAGAGAATACTAGCATGTTGGAATCTTGTGTCGCACGGGGCTATGCCCCGATGACCCACTGAGGACTGGGCGAAGAGCTTCCACCACCAGGCTGTGAAGCAGCTGTCGGGATCCTGCCTTTGCTTACTCGCTGAACGCTGAACACTTCAGAGAGGCCACACTGCCTGCTAGCCTGGTGGTCTTGCTTCAGCCATTGACGTGCAATGCACAGGTCATTCGGTTTTATGTTCCTATCGTCTGCCAATGTGCAATGGCACAGCCCATTTGCATGTCTGCCAGCAATCTCTGTTTGCCAAAGCAGGTCTCCAGCAAGCATGCCGGGCAGGCCGAAGGGGGGTCTGTTCAGCTTGTGGCTGGAAACGGCGCCGTTGAAGGACACCAAATAAGTATAGAGCACCCTGCACAGACAGCAGCATCCAACATCTGCTGAGGCCATTCAAAAACTCCATATCAGTCATAAGTTCCCATATCCCTAACCCCCCCTCCGAAGTTTGAGATCTATTGATCTTTTGCATGGCCTGGAGGTTTGGATTAATTGCTAGTCGGCCCCTCCTTTGCAGCCGAGGCGGCGCTCGCGCTAGCGATTTAATTGAAGTCCATCATTTCACGCATCGTATATTCGCTGCTGGACAGGGAGCTGGGAAACGATCATCGCACTGAATGGACTGCAGACGCCTGGCATGACTTCAAGCCCAAGACAACGCTGCCTCATGTCACTCAGCGCCAGGTTCGTGTAGACCAGGTGAGCGTTGTAAAGGAGCGCTGCGTGCCGAATTGATGTGAAATGCTCTTGGATCTTGTCCTGTCACATCAGCATCGTGGAAGCAGCCAAGCTCAGTTCACTGGTCAACTCCTTACATCAAGGGCTGCACCTGCTCGCCTACTCGCTCTCTGTCTCTTAGGCTTTAGGTAGGAGATGGGCATGGCCTCCTGTGCCAAAGAACCCCGCGTTCGTCGGGTCACGTCGTCTTTTCTAGTGAATGAAACGGAAAACTCGACACGGTCACTAGGCTCTCCTATTAGCCAGAAATGGAATGAGGAACTAATGTAACCAGCTTGGCATCATTCCGTTTCAAGGTTTAAGAATATTAGCGCTGGAGTTAATTCTTCCTGCTGAGGTTTCCCCGCACTCTATGCTGGGTAGGAGCTCGCTTAGGAAGAGAAAACAAAAATCACTTAGGATGAGATTCATTCTGGCTTATCGGAAGCTTGAAGGGAAGAAAACGTGGCAGAGGTCAGCCAAACGGCTCTCGGACTCTGCAGACGAGTGCCTCCCAGTCTGGCCCTAAGTGATTGTTTTTGCTACCAAGGGCTTTCCAGGTGAAGGAAAAAATGTATCGCATCCTGAGTTTCCACATCCGGTGTATCGAAGTCTTATAGTGCTTATGTTCTACATGTGCGCACGCCTGCGCCATCCGGAGCATGCCTGTGTGATCCGGGGTATAGGGTTTAGGGATTGGCTGTTTATTTGCCACGAATGCTTTTAACTTTGGCACAGGACTGGCTGGAGCGCCTGCATACAACTGTCTGCATTGTTAAGGCTATCTGGACCCCTACATGTATGTGCAATAATCGAGAAGGACCCGAAGGAGCGACCCCAATTCAAAACCCTAAGTAGAGTCCCTTAGACCCGAAGACCACCTGCAAACCCTAAACTCCTAAATCCCGACATCCCTAAGCCCTAAAAACCCTAAAGCCTGATGACCCTCAGCCCTGAAAACACTAAGTCCCAAAAACCCGAAGCCCTAAAAACCCTAAAGCCTAAACACTCTAAACCCAAAAACACCTTCAAAACCTAAACTCCTAAAGGCTGACATCCCTAAACCCTACAAACCCTAAAGCCTCACGACCCTAAGCCCTGAAAACCCGAAACCCTAAACACATTAAACCTGAAAACCATCTACAAACCATAAACTCCTTAACCTTGACATCCCTGAACCATAAACCCTAAACCCTAAAAACCCCAAACCCTGAGCACAGCCCTCAAAACCCTAAATTCTGAAAACCCTGAGAGACCATAAAAACCGCAAACCCTAAACCCAAAGCCCTGAACCGTAAAAATCGTGAAGCCCTAAAGCTTAAAGACCCTCAACTACCCCAATCCTTGACCTCAAAGACCCTTCCGCGCCTAAACCCTAAAGACCCCGTTCCGGTGTGGACCCCCGACTTGGGGGTCCGGCAAAGACCCCCAACCCAAAAATCCCGGACCTCCCCAACCCCAAAACACCCTAACTAAACCCTAAAAACCCGAACCCTAAAAAGCTAAACGTAGAAGACCGAAGAACCCTACAGCCTAAGAGCCCTAAAGCCTAAGCCTAAAACCTAAAATCCAAAACATTAAATACGCAAAAACCCCAACCCCAACCCTTGCAACCCTAAACATCTGAAAAGCTGAGCCCTAAGAAGCCTAAAACTCCTTAACCTGGAGAAGTCACAAGCGACACTAAACCTCTAAACCCAAACAACCCTAAGCCCTAATAGGCCCCATACACCCCTGAACCCTAAACAACCCTACGCCCTGAACCGTAAGAACGCTTTCGCGCTCGTCCCAAATGATCTCTGCTTTTTTTTCCCAAGTAATTCGGTTTTTCTAGCCCTAAGTGATTTCTGACCCCGCTGGCATCCATGAGAGGAATTGTATTCAGAGTTATCCTTTTTTCTGTAGATTCAAGCTCCGGACTAGAACCGGCTGAGGAGGAATTATATCCTGATTTTGTTTGTATAGATTTCACTTTCAGGTGTCAAACCTCCATACAACTCCATGTGCACCCTGGGGTGTCAAACCTCTGTGCGCGATGAACTATGGGGGTCCGGGGTTAGTTAGGGTTCGTGGGTTGCTGGCTATGGTTGTCCCCGGTTTTAGTAGTAGGCCGGCCAAGGATTTTTAATTCGCTTGGTGGGGTTTAGACTCGCCCACACCCTATCCCATTTCTTGGATGCTCTTGATGCAGCTCGAAGTTTGAACTTTGATGCTCAGTTGTACTTGCAACACTTTTGGAAGAATCTTCTTAAATCCTTAAAATGTCAAAATACTCTTGGAGTAGTTTCTGGTTCCAATTACTTTGGCTCAAAATGGTTTCCGAACTTCGTTCTGCACAACTGCTTGAGCTGAAGCAGCTTCAAGTTATTGAAACCTATCCTGTGAAACCACACCAAAAATGTATCCCAAGTTTATTTTTTTAAAGCTGCCAGTCCGATGGGGAGCACGAGACAGGCATTATATCGATGGCAGTTGTTTTCTGGACGCTTCTGGCCATCACTGGGATGGCCCGGTGCCTCTAATGCTGCTGCAACCACATGTTCTGCTGACCTCTTTGAAATTGAAATGCTCGACGTGGTCTGTACAACCAGACCGAAAAACAAAACCAGAGTTGACTCTGTTTGTCTCGATTCCCGGGAAGCACGAATCCAATAGAAAAGGCACGTGCAGCAAAAATAACATATGTTTTCTGGACGTTCCGCTGCCACGCAAAGGTTTGACATTGGTGAGAAACTCCTGTAACATTGTTTGAAAAATCAGACCGACAAAAACTATCATCCAGAATAATTTCTCTTGGTGGCAAGACCCATCCCATGGGAGCACAAATCCAATGGAACAGGCTTGGTCTCAAACTTTTTGAAAACAACTAATCTGTAAAACCCACCCAGCCAACACCTAGCCCAACCGTAGCATCCACAGTGAACTGCCACCACGTCTCAAGCTGGACGCTTGGAACATCTGCCGCCCACGAAAAAGTAGCTCTTAATCACTCGGGCTGCCTAACAAAGGAAGATAGTCAGTGGAACCTCTGTGTTTGAAGAACATATTCTTCTTCTGCGTGCTATGCGAAGCGATGCTCTTCTTCTTTTTCTATGCGCTATACGCAGTCCGAAGACTGCGCATGAGCTTGGCCCACAACGCAGGGTCCCTGTACAACCTCGAGAAGCTCGGAGCATGCTTGTAGAAGGACGCCTTTTAAGCAGTTCACCCTTCCATCTTCTTCTTTCCCACCCTAGCCCTAGACCCCTTATTCCCAATACACATCGTCCTTCCGGTGGCTTTGTGTCCCTTTTGAAAATGTGGCCCAGGAGGTTAGCGATGATGATCTTCCCCAAACAAACTCTAGGAAACGATCCCAGCATCATTCGCCCCCGCATCTCACTGCCTCTCCAAAGGTGCTCAGGAAGGAACTCTACTACATCAGGTCGGCTATGCGCAATCTTTACATTGCAACTCATGTGCCACGAAAAATTTCCGTTACATCCCACTCACCGCTGTTCTATCGAATTAGTGCACAAGTTTCTTTTTGCATTTCGCCATCTTTGACTCCCAAATTTCCCGATCCCTTTGTCAGATTAACCATGCAGCATCAACACCCCATAGAGCCTAAACACACACACACACTCATTGACTCCGGATTTAGCGAATTGCATGGTTCGGTATGTTTGTGTTTCCCAGGTCTCACCCGAAAGCTTTGCTTTGGGTTCTCTTGGGAGCATGCCGAATTCCCTTCTCCCTACTCCTTTCCAACTCTATCATCACTGTACCAATTTTGTCGCTGACTATTTTGGGATTGCTCTGTACAGTGTGCCTGTACCTGTGCGCGGTTACCCTTCTCTCATGGCCACTCAAAACTTTTCATGATGTAGGCCTCCACGCTGTTTGCCGCCATATCCATTCCCAGCTTTTTATCAGCTTCTTCCAGAAGCTTCTCAACTTCGTCTCGATGGGTTGGCCAATGCCTTCCTTCCCTGTTTTCCTTCAACATCCACAAGACCCATCACTGCATCTGTTGCACTGTACCTCTGGCAGCTTCTTTTTGTTCCGGGGACTCGCTGGTTCAGCTGGCTTCGTGTGTGCATGCCAAGACCAGTTTTCTTGTTTTCCTTAGCCTTGTGCTTCCTCTTTTGGTTCACGGTCCATCCGTTCGACCCACTCCGGTTCGTCCTAGTCAACTTCTCCAAGAGGTTCTGGTATCGCGATCTCTCCAACTGTCCCATACAGCGAGCCTTCGATGTCTTCTGTAGGCGTGTGTACCAAGGTAGCTGCCCTTCCAGTTCGATCGTGGCCCGCTCTGCACCTGGTACAATTGCAGTTTTCCTCTTCTCTCCCTTGACAGTGCAGGTCTCCCGTCCGACTGTTGTGGGCCTCCCCACGCCAATGGTCCTTGCACTCTTCATGGCCGCCTCTTGCTTTCCAATCGTGTCCTGGTGATCGCGTCTTCGCGTCTTGGCTGGCCCTGCTGCAGAATCTCCTGGACAGTATCCGGGCTGTCCACCTCCTCTTTCACCTCTTCCCTTTGCTGCGTTTTCTTTGTCTCTTTCTCCATTCTCTGGCTGTTTGCAGTGGCAACCTGCGTCGTGGAGGAGGAAAGGGAGGAGCTGGAAGTCGGTGACGATTGTTTTCTTTTCTTCTCCTTCTTCGTCGGCTTTTCCCTGCTGTAGCGCTTGTCTGCTTCTTGGCGTCTTCTGTGTTGGCCTTCCCTTTCGACGCAGGTCTCTTGCCTTGCTTCTCCTAGGTATGAGCCGTCTTGATTGCCCCTCCGCTCCCGCAAGCGAAACATATGCCCCCATCTCCCTTGGCCATTGCTGCTTCCTCCCTTACACATTCCACTTTGTCTTGCCTCGCCACCGCTGATTAACAATGCTGAGGTTATTTCTGGGCCTGTTCGGTGATTGCTGTCGAGTTGTCATACTGTTTCCGCAATTGCCCCAAAAGTTGGTAAGCAACAGGTCCCTTCCCTTCCAACCAGCATGGATGCCTCATGGGCGCAGAGTTTGGCCAGGTGATGTGTTGCCAGTTGGTCGCTCGCCTCTTCCTATCTAGTACAGTTACGCTGTTGGTGCAGCAGCTATCGAGATCGACCAGCAGTACAACACATTTCCAGGCGCGGGGTCTTTCAAAACGACTGGTTGCTCCTGTTAGGGTGGGGCGAATTCCTGTGTAGTCTGCTCCTCCTATGGTCTTAAGGAGGAATGGTTCTCGGAGACTTTTCTAAGTAAAGCCATGGCCCAGCGCCGTACACCGCTTTCAGTGGGAACAGGAGAAGAACGACGACCAAGCTCAGCTTCGACCCAGCGACGTGCACCACCTTCCAGGCGAGGCATAGAGGAACAGCTTCCCCTTTGGCTCGCCCCGGAAACAATGAAACAACGCCCCTTCACGCAGTTTCTTCAGGGTGAATGTATCCGCAAGTAATTGCTTCGGGCTCCCCCGCCCCGTGGGGGGTCTTCTCTTTCTCTGTTCTTTCTACCAGGCGTTTGATCGCAGTTTTGGCTCTGCGACCCGTGGCCGGCCTACGCAACCCAGCACGTCCCTCAGCTCCCTCGGGCTACTTTCTGCTTCGCAACTGCTTAGAAATCCCACAGAAAGACTTACAAGGCGCAGGGCCGCGGGAGCTACAGCACGCTGCCAGCTCCACTGCGCACGCACGGACATGGCCCAAGACCCAAGACTGCTGCAAAAACTGAGTTAATCGGATGGCCAACTGGTCTGCGCTGGCAACCAGACGCGAAAACAAAGAATATCTAGGAGTGCCCTAGTCCCACTAAATGGCTTCCGTCAGGCATTGCTTGGCTCTCCGCTCAAGTTTTGTTCACTTTCGCTCACATCCACCTCCGTCTGTTCATGCACCCATACGGGCCAGAAGTTTTCTGGTAGTCTTCATAGGCTTATTACGTATACTTCTGACTTGGGTTGTCTCATGGCTCCATGCAACTGTCGCCGTCTTGATCTCGTTTGCGCGGCCTGTTCCTGGACTGCAGCTTCCGTGGAGGCCGATCTTCGGGCCTGCCCTGTATCGTGCTCAATGCACGTCTCAGCTTAGCGCAGCCTGACTTTGCGGCCAGCGCCGCCGGCTTTTGCTCGTTTTGCTCTGCTTTTCTTCTTGCCAGGCTTGCCCTGGCGTTACTTTGCTGATATTGTCATTTCTTTACGCGATTGCTTTTTCCTCAGTCCTATTCTCAGCACATGCAGCGATTGCGGAGCCTGTTCTTCTCCTATTATTGCTGCGTACGTAGCTGCTATCTGCGAGGCATGCCTCCGGAGTACCTCAGCGCTGAGAGAATTTAACAGCAGCTCTAATATGGACCATCTACTCTGCACTCCGAAGTCTGTCCATCCTTCCTGAAGGCCCAGGAGCTGGCTCTGCACCTGCGCCCGCCATTTGCGTGTCATCGATGTCTACGCTGCTGCTAGAGCTGGCTCCTATAGCGGTTGCCCCACCAAGTTTGTAGTAATGTACGTTGCTTCTGGTCTGGTACGCTGCAGTGCCTTCAACGCTGTGATTGTCTCAACTGCGTTTTTCCGCTCCTCTTCTCCCTCCGCCATGCTCAAAACTTGCTCCCGGACGCCCGACTACTTCTTCACTCCAGTTGTCCAGGATGATGCCGAGGGCGTCATTCTCACAGGCTTCTGGCAATGGTTTACGCCTGCTGGTCCGGGTACTGCCTGAGACGAAGCGCAGCTTGGACCAATCTCGGTCTGCGCTGGACCGAATGCCCTTATCCACCGTAAAATGGCTGGCAGGGTCTCGGCCAGTCTCGTCAGGGTCCTTGTCGCTCAGCGTGCAGTTGCCCTCCAGCTTGATGTTGGGCTCCTCCCGTAGCGTCGCAAGTAACGCTAAAGATGGCCCCGCATTGACTTGCACTCTGGATGGCCTGAAGCAGTCTGGTCTTGTCCCCCGTGTCTAGCGGTCTCGGTGCTCCAGTCTCGGCCCCCTCTCCGCGTCCTCGGCCTTCGGGTTGGGTCTGGGGTCGGGGGTCCTCGCCTGTCCTTTTCATAGTGATCTTCTTCCAGCTGCACTTCTGCTCATGCTGCTGAGCTGCTATGCCAGCAATTGCATGTGAGCATGACGTGTGAGTGAAGACTCAAGGCTCTCCTCCCTGACGTAAGACATACAAATGAAAATCTGCAGGTCGATGAACAACTTGCGACGTGACAGTTTTAATGTAGCAAGCGCGGTGCTAGATCGTGAACGAATCCAAATCTTAGGGTACCCTTCTTGAAAGTGAATCCCAAATCTCCTCTGCAGGGTTTTACGCTCCCTAAACCCTAAACCCTACGTCCTAAACCTTCGGGCTCTCCTTACAAGCCTACAGCCTAGAAGTGCCTTTCGATAACCCTAAACCCTGAAACCCTTAAAAGAGGGCAGCAGACCAAAGTCTGACCAAGGGTCACACGCACGAAGCTGGACTCAGGACTTTTCACGCCCTTAGTGGCTTGGGCAGGAGGCAGGCAAAAAGAAGCCACCAGCCGTGTCGCTCTTCTTCTATGGGTTACGCAGAGCCAAAGGCTCCGCTGGGGCAAGGCCCCGAACCCGCGCACCGTATCGCTTTCTTTCTTTGTTTCGTGCGGGCTATGGAGGGGAACGGAGTTCCCCTCCGGGCTTCAATGTCGAGCCCTTGTTGGGTCCTGAGGTCGAACTACACCCCTGATTGTCTACATGGTTGGGTAAATCCCCTGTATCGCTCTCTGCCTCTCTCTCTCTCCTCCCTCAACATTGCACGGGCAAACCACTGTCCAGGAAGCAGTGGATGGACACGCAAGTGTTTCGCTCGACTGGACCTGCATTGAGAAAGCAGACAACGTTAGAAGAGATTTGGAGGTGGTGACTTCCTCATCCGAATGACAATATTTAATTCTTGGAGAAATCCCAAGCAATGGCTGTGACAAATTCCGGGGGCCGTAATGGAAGCCGTCCAGCTCCTGGAAAATGCCGAAGTCACTCGCATCCTCAGGCTCATTCCATGAACATCCCAAGATGGCTCCAACGGCTTGTTCCGATGATGTTGAGTGGTCGTTGCAACAGGAGCAAAAGATGCAAAGGCTACATACGGCGCCGATAGGTGAGCATTCATGAAGTGCAGTTACTCGCTAAGGCGTGGACAACCGTTTCCAGAAAAGCTGGCACAAAGTCCTTCAGTGCAAAAGTTAGCCGCCACGCCGGATCATTTCAGGCAAGACGGATGAGTGTGCCTCCAGCAAGTCAAAAAGCTTGTGCATGGACTGGGCCTTTCCAAGGCAGGTAACACGGACATGGCCATCACACGACTTGACATAGCCACCCTCTTTGAGACCACAACTGCACAGAGACCACTCTGTCCAGCAACAGCTTGCTCGAAAGTCTACAACAATGCATTTGCCACGTGCTCAAGGCATACATGCATAATTTGAACGCAGGTTGAACACCTGCGGTCATGGGCCTGGCACAGTGACTCCTTGCATTTCCTAATGCCTTTCTTGGGATCATGCCTGCAGGCTCCTTTGGGAGTTGATTGCTCCAACGGTAATTCAGATTTGGAGCGTGCAGCGTGTTGTCCTAGACAAGTGCGAAGTTCAAACTTGGCTTGCCTCATGCATCGTTGATCCGTACTTGAGTTATATTCCTTGCTAAGTGGACAGGCCTTGACAAATTGCTGTACTTCTCCGTGCCTTGGCAGAACTGGTCCCATGCAGTGGATGGCTGTTGCAGGTCAGATCAATGACGTGTCGGCAGTCCGGTTGCTGAGCTCACTGCAGGAGACGGAAAACGTTGTAGCAGTTTTGCAAGATGGCCTGGCTGTGCTCACTGGCAGCATTGACGTTGCAGGGCAAAGGAAGTGGACGTGGCTTTCTGCTTAGAGATTCGGCCGAGCAGGCTATAGTCTCTTCTGAAGTGCGCACAGGTGCAACTGTGCTTTTCTGCGCTTTGTGTCTTCTTTCTTCCCAGGGCGGCGAATCAAGACTGGAGCATTTGCCCAGTGTTCTCAGGCTGCACAGGTGCCATGAGATGGATGAACGTTTTGAGAGCAGCAGCCCCTTTCTCAAAATTAATGCGCAAGCCAAATTAACCATGACAAGTCAAATACGAGGAGATAGTGTTGTTTCATGCTGCTGCCATCGTACGTAAGATCACCGCGCTGCCTTTGGTGTGTGCACGCTGCAACGATACAGGTAAGACAGTTAGAGGATTGGGATACGTTGGGATGCTTCATAAGCGTTGCCAATTTAGAGATCCTTCTACATACAAATGCCCCGAAGACACCTATTTCAAACCATGTCGCGATGTCTTCACTCTTGATATCTGGTTGCAGAGCTCTGTACCACCAAAGCGCAGCAATTCTGCCAGTGAGCTTCTCCAATCCTACAGAATAGCCCCTTGGAGGCCCGATCTGAAGTGTTGACTGGAGTTACTAGCGCGCATGTCAGGCGACATGAAGACTTGCTCCATTATTCTTTCAACCTTTGCGTTGAAAAAGCCTGCGCAAAATAACTCACAGCCAAGTTTCACGCTGTCTGAGCGTGAGTAAGAAAAACTATTGCACTGTCCTTCGACTTTATCCAAAGCAGTCCCCATGGATTGGAACTGACACTCGCCAAGGCACTCTTCAAACCACCTGTGGTGTGGGGTGGAACCGCATGCTGCCTCGAGGAATTATGAGGAATGTTGCACACAATGCAAGATGAAGCTTTACTCAAACACTTTTTTTGTAGGCAACGGGCAGTGGGGTTGAGGGATGCACGGCATCATTCTACAGCAAACATTACATTGAAGTGTGCACCTTCAGGCCAAGTATCGACTATGATGTCTGTTTTGAACTCAGAATGCCTGACTGAGCTTGCAGGGCTTCGGAAACAGGCGTGCTGGAGAGACTTTACCGCTCTGGACAGCGGTACCTGCACGTGCAGCCTGATGCTGCAGCACATCGAGCTTATCATGCCTCAAGTTTTCCGTGAAGCAGCTGCGCATCAGGCGAGAGCGGACTATATCCGCTGCCATGATTTCAACCTGATTGGTTTTATGCTGGGCTCTTCTGCTTGGCCTGGATCTTTTTCAGAACCACGAACGCTTGACAGACCTTATATGTGGTATCACAGACCTGGCACAAGCGGTGTTGCGTTGCAATCTGTCTTACAAGTTCCTGATGCAGTGTTGCACTGAAGAAGCATTGTTGAAGCATCATTGAATCTCAGGGTCCGCAGGGTCCGCAGCTGCGAGCTCATGGCCATGCCCTCCCAGGAAGAATCTCGCTTCAAAGAGCAGAGTAGGATGGAGTGCATGTTTTTGCCATGCCTTGGTGGGTGTCCGCCGAGTCGCCTGGCAAGGTTCAGAGAAGCATACATTTTCTCTCTGCTCATCCGCCGCCGCTTGGTAATTCCAGCCTGCAGCCTTCTGGCTGCGTCTTGGGGCACTGACGACTGCTGGCCTTAAGCAAGTCAGCGTTGTTTACCAACACTATCCAAGCTCATGCACAAATGGGAATGGATAGGATAGAACACGTGGTGCGGGAAGGGCAAGCCAATCAGATTAGCATGATCATGACTAACCAGAAACGATGCTGCCGCACCAAAGATCAATCAGGCCAGGCAGCGTGCGCCGAAGCTCCACCAGTTTGCCATGATCCTTGCAGCTTGCAATTAGGCTGCACAGTGCTCGACACAGCCGCGGCTTTCCATTCCAGTCCTCCGTGACCAGCTGACCATCTTGGAGGCCTTCAGTTGCTGGAAGATGCTGGAAGCGTTGCTCTGATACGCGCTGTGCCAAGATAGGCCAAGGTGTTCCAAGATCTTGGTGCATGGCGGTAGACCTTCCCGTCATGTACGACGACTTGCCAGCATAGCTCCGAGAACGCTCGATCCTAGCTTTCAGTCCAGGACTCTTGAAAAATGGTCCCCGGAAATCCAGGAAGATGAAGGTCTTCATAAAAACTTACTCGTCATGGCCTTGTATGCGGAGGCGAAAATGTTTGTTTTCAAAGGGGAACTAACTTTAGGCTGCCAAGTTTGTTTCCGCAATAGAAACGTTTGTTGCGAAACCTGCCACAGGCGGAGAGGAAGAGGGAGGGAGGGCCGGGGGGGGGGAAACAAACTAACTCAGAAGCTTTTCAAATGTTTGTTTCGGGGTAGAACCTAACGTTTTTCGGGAACTTTGGTTTTTGGGCAGAAACTAACGTTTTCTGGGAACGTCTGTTTCTTGGACAGAAACTAACCTTTTCTGCAAACTTTTTTTTGGGCAGACACTAACGCTTTCCGGAAACGTTTGTTTCTGGATAGAATTTCAATTTCTGGACAGAATTCAAAGTTTTCCGGACACCTGTGTGCGTACAGGCGCGAACTAAGATTTTCCGGAAACCTTAATTTTCCAGGTTTAATTAACCTTTCCGTTCAGAATTAATCCCTTCCCCATATTAATAAAACCACCTTAATAATAAATAATAAATCCAGGGCCCGAAAAATTCCTCATGAGCATTAAAGGGGCTGTACTAATTTTAAAAGGGGCCAGACCATGATGAATTAGGGAGGGTTTTGAAGTCATTAGGGGGGTATAATAGAAAATCCCAAGGATTTAGGATGATTTAGGGATCCCCTTGACATCCGAGGTTTTGGTTGATTTTCATATTATGGTTTTATAAAGGATTTTATATACAAGAACTGGATGCGACTTTAAATGATTTTATTACAGTTTTAGCCGCATTTACTTAAATCTCAATTGAATTTCATTCGATTTCAAATGATTTTGGAGGAATTTCAGTTCGATTTCAATTGATTCTAACGGGATTTTAATTCGATTTCAATTGATTTTAAAAAGAATTTTCATTAAATTTCAATTGATTCTAACGGGATCTTAATTCGATTTCAATTGATTTTGAAAGGAATGTTAATTAGATTTCAATTGATTTTAAGCGTGAATTTAATTCGATTCCAAGTGATTCTAAAGACATTTTAATTCGATTTCAAATGATTTTTAGCGTGATTTTAATTCGATTTCAATTGATTTTAAAATGAATTTTTAATTCGATTTCAATTGATTTTAAAAGGAATTTAATTAGCTTTCAATTGATTTTACAAGGAATCTTAATCAATGGCTTTAATTGATTTTAAAAGGAATTTAAAGGCGGCCCTACCAAATCCTTTCAATAAATATGCGCCCCTAATAATAAACAATTTCTGACCCCCCCCCACCCCGGATTGTTTATAATTAGGGGGGGGGACGTCGTTAATTATTAGGGGGAAGGGATTATCTAATTTTTTCTCGTGGGGTGAGGTGTCCAAAACCACCGGAGAAGAAACTAACTTACTCTGAACCGAAAGGTTAGTTAAACCTGCAAAACTTACGTTTCCAGAAAACCTTCGTTTGCTCGTGTAAACAAAGGTTTCCGGAAAACTATAAATTCTCCAGAAACAAACGTTTCAAAAAAAAAAGAAAAAAAAGAGGTTAGTTTCCTCCCATGAATCAAACGTTTCCCGAAAACGTTGGTTGCTGCCCAAAGACAAACGTTTCCGGAAAACGTTAGTTTCTGCCCAAAAACCAACGTTTCCAGACAAGGTTAGTTTCCTCCAATGAAACAAACGTGTCCGGAAAAGGTTACTTTCTTCCCATGAAACAAACGTCTCCGGAAAAGGTTAGTTTCTGCCCAAAAACAAACGTTTCCGGAAAACGTGAGTGTCGGCCCCAAAACCAAAGTTTCCAGAAAATGTTAGTTTCTGCCCGAGAAAAAATGTTTCCGGTATTTTTACCAAACACACGCTTCCAGAAAATGTTAGTTTTCGCCCACAAACAAACATTTCCAAAGGTTTGTTTCACTCGAACGTTTGGTCCCTCCAGCGAAACTAAGTTTTCCCAGAAACCTGAGCTTAGTGCAAAACTGTGAAACTAACTTTCCAAACTAACTAACTCTGAACCGAAAGGTTAGTTAAACCTGCAAAACCTACGTTTCCAGAAAACCTTAGTTTGCTCGTGTGAACAAAGGTTTCCGGAAAACTTTAAATTCTGTTAGTTTCTGCACAAAAACCAACAAGGTTAGTTTCTTCCAGTGAAACAAAGGTTTCCGGAAAACGTTGGTTTCTGCCGAAGAAGAAACGTTGGCAGAAAAGGTAAGTTTCTGTCCAGAACAGACGTTTCCGGAAAACGTTAGTTTCTGCCCAAAAACCAACGTTTCCAGACAAGGTTAGGTTCTTCCAATGAAACAAACGTGTTCGGAAAACGTTGGTTTCTGCCGAAAAAGAAACGTTGCCGAAAAAGG